TTGATCTTTCTTTTGCAATGCTAGGGACAAAGTGTTTGTTATTACCAATATAGCTTTCCTTAAAAATAAGTGAAACACAAACTCAAAAGATTGTATTTCTCTCCATAACTTATAGGCTTCACCCAAACTATCATTCGGATTATCATCAACAATCATTTGAAGCACATTCACCACAAAGGTTATGAGAAGATAACAAAGACTTCAATTGATAAGTGCTTGAATTTAACATTTGAAAATGAAACAGAAGAGGGTCCTATGGATAAAACAAGATTGATATTCCTACAACTCCTTATGACCAATCTCTTCTGGAACTTTGGTTGTATACTCGCTTGGACCTACACAACTACGATAGACACCTTAAAAAATATGGAGAAATATAATTGGGCTCGAGGAGTTTTCGCCGACATGTAAACCACTACTAAGCACAAATTTAATTTAATTTTTCATTCTCTATTTAAACACATAATCAGAAGAAACCAAAGACAAACTGCTTTTTCTTAAATTTGTTTGTATTTACATTTTTAGGTTGAGATTTGTTTGACATCCAACATTAGGACTAATTCAGTTCATTCAATTGAACTTCATCATTTTGGTGTGTTCTTTGTTTTCATAATTTACTATATGGTTGAAAAAACTTTTTTTTTTGTTTGAGAAAACAAACAAATATATGCATTTGTTTACCAAAATTTATATGCAAGGAACTCATAATTGTTAATGCAACACAGCTACAATTGTTCTTGAAAATAAAACATGTTTAAACGACAATAATAAGCAAATTAGGTCATATAAATCGATTTCTTTGAAACCGTAACTCAAATTAGGGGCATACAAATTCTTTTCTTACAAAAATTAAACTACAACCCTAATTTGAAATGAGAGTTAGAAAGAGAGGGAGAGAAAGAGATTTTGTATCTTAACCTTGATAAATAATCTATTGCGCAATTAAGGAAGAAAATTTGGGAGAGAGCAAATCAGAGAGACACCATAGAGCCAACGAGAAAGAAAGAGATGAGATCGTTTTCAGGTAAGAAAATCAAACAGAGACCACATAGCCAACGAGAGAGACGTAGAGAGCAGTGGAGAAAAAACAAAAGTGATAGACATGCGATATGATGTATCTATAAGGGTCATTTTACAAACTTTCTTAAAAAGGGATCATTTGACCAATATTTAACGGAGATGAGGTCAAAGTTGCTAATCTCCCCAAAAAAGAACAACAAAAGAAGGCAAGACATCTAATCAAAAGACGGTGGGACATCAGTCCAAATTATAATGTGTGTCAATTCACGAATACCCGTTAACTTGTTAAGCTTAGGGACATTTTTGTAATGTTACAAAAGAGTTGGATTGAAAAAATATGAGAAAATAGATTGTTTGGAAGGGATTCGAACCCTAACCCACTTTTGAGAAAGAATCACTGCCTTTTCCAGCTCTACTATCTTCATTCTTTTAATGTGAATCAATTATGTGTATATTTATACAGCTTCCACTATAACTTTATTTGTTTCTTTCTTTTTTCTCCATACTTATCTTCCTTATCTTCCCTCTTCACAGACTGTTATGCTCCAACTCTCTTCCATTTTCCAAAACAAAAAACTCACTCACTGTTATGCTCCAACTCTCTTCCATTTTCCAAAACAAAAAACCCCCCCCCCTGCCACTAGGGTGACAATTTTGGATACGACCCGTTACATAACTCGAAACCTGCACGGAAAAAACACGACACGAACCCGCACGATTAAAATACGGGTCATTTTTGAGTCAACCTGCCAGTGACCCGTTTATAAACGGGTGGGTTTCAGGTCAATCCGTCAATCCGCTAAAACACTTTTTTAACCCGTTTATTAAACAGGTCAACTCGTCAACCTGCTAAAATACCTATATAACCTGCTAACCCCGTAAAATATCTATGTAACCTGCCAACTTGATACTTGTTTAACTCGTTTATTAAACGAGTTAACCCGTTAACCTGCTAAAATACCTATATAACCCGTCAATCCTCTAAAATACTTAAGCTCTGTTCGGTAGGATATTTAGAGGCCCGTTTTTGTTTTTTGAGCCCAAATACGGATAAAAAATGTGTTCGGTGGGCTATTGACAAAAACACGGAAAATGTTTTGAGAGAATGAATTCACGCCTAAAGCGTAAAAATTGAAAACGACAAAATGACTTTCTCTCCATTCTCAACTCTAAATTAGAGAACGCAGAATTCTATTTGGGAAAACGGAGAAAACAAAGAGGACCTCGAGCACGCTTCGTCCCTTCATCTTCGTCTCTTCACCGCTTCGTCTTCATCTTCGTCTTCGTCCCCTCATCTTCGTCTTCGTCATCATCCCGTGATCTTCGTCTTCATCGTCATCCCCTGTTCTTCGTCTTCATCCCTTCGTCCAAGTCTAAAACAGAAACACGCCCTTCATCTACGAGAAACAGAGAAATTCCTTGCTTCCCACTCTTGCAATCTTCCTATACACTCTCTTGGAAGATCTTGGTAAGAAAAATTTATATAAAATATTTCGTTTTAGATTTGGGTATTTTTGTATGGTGTATCTGAACTGAAATTTTTCTTCTCAGATTTCGTTTCACACTCACTTGGAAGATCTTGCTGCTCAGTCTTCTGGAAGATTTTGGTACGAAATTACTCTTTTTCTGCTATTTATGTTTAGATTTGGGTATGAAGACTATGATGTTATTTGTGTTTAGATTTGGGGTTTTCTTTATGCTAACTTTAATTTAAATTTTGTTTATGTCAATGATTGAATTTTTTCCCTGTTTTTTGTAATTGATCTTAACTAGGATTGAATTTTTTTTCCCTGTTTTCTACGATCTTGACTAAGATTGAATGTTTTCCCTGTTTTCTGCCTTTGGTTAAGTCAAAGGAGTTGGATCTATTTTCTGGTTTTAATTTCTTTTTATAACTCTGGTTTCTGTCAAACATTTGGCTTTGTCATAGTAGGATGAAACTCTTGAAATAGGAGCTGATGTTAGATGTAATTGATAGATTGATTGTTGGCTTTATATGTTTTCTGGTTTTAGACGAAACAGTGCTTAGTGCATTTGAGAATAAATCTGGACTAGTTTAGGAAGGCTATTCGGTAGTTTCTAGTTGTGCATTACATGATTGAAGGTTGTCATAATTTTCTTTCTTTAAAAGGATATGGCGTCCAAGAATGTTGACGGTCAAGAAAAAATGTCATGGCCTCCAAGACATGAGACAATATTCATACATATATTGCATGAACATGTGAAGAAGGGTGACTTGCAAACATCAACTTTTAAAATGAAAGTTTGGGCAGAAATAAGTGATGAGTTGTATGCACAATGTGGACAAAAATGTACTATTCCACAACTTAAATCTAAGTTTAATAGGCTGCGAATAGTACATCATGACTTCTCAGATTTGATTGAGCATACGGGATTTGGGTGGGATCCTGTTGCAAACACAGTGATTGCCTCAGAGGATGTTTGGGCAAGTTACTTGAAGGTATTATAATAATATCATATAGAAATCTTTGTATTATTATTTTTAACTGACTCTGATACATAAGAATTGGTTGTGACATTTGATATAATATAATTTTCATGATTTGTAGAGTAAGCCAAAAGCGAAGCAATTTCGCACGCAAGGCTTAGAGCACTATCAAATTTTAGGGGAGATATTCAACACTACTACTGCAACCGGGCAATTGCATTATGCCTCTAGTCAACTTCCTCCTAACTTCGATGATGAACGTGAGTTAGAAAACAACTTCCTTAACACCGGAGTTCACATCGATGTTGACTTGGATGATGATGGTGACAACCCTCAGCTTGTGAGTGGTAAAGGAAAAAGAAAGTGTGCAACTACTGCTCCACCTGAGCGTCGTCCAAAGAAATGGGATAAAATGGAATCTTATTTGGATGTTTGCAGTGAAGTTATGAGTAAAAAATTACAACGAGAAAAGGAAAAGACTCTTGAGGCATCTAGCACCTCTAAGGAGATGTATTCGATTGAAGAATGCATAGGCATTGTTGAGACAATGGGAGACGTTGATAACGATACATTCAACAAGATGCTAGAAAAGATAGTGCTTATTGAATGGAGGAAAATCTTTGTTACAATGCCAGCAGCAAGGAGGAGAGCTTGGTTGGCTAGTCTTTAGGATTACTACTTATGTTTGTTGTTGAGAGGATATTTATGAATTGTTCTTGTTATTATGTTTGATGTTTGTGACTTTAATTTGTATGCATATTCACAGATTTTTGTGAATTTAATTTGTATGCATATTTTCATATTTTTGTGAATTTAATTTATATGCATATTTGAAGGTACTAGACATGTCTACAAGGAATGAAGACAATCACTCTGATAGTGATTCAGATATTGAAGAAATGACGCATCATATGATAATTTGTATGCATATTTATGAATATTGGCAATCATATGTAGATAGAACTCCATGTCATAACTCTGTTTTATCTGGGCATGAATATGTTCAAGAGTTGTTGAATGGGCATCCAGATAGGATTTATGACTCGTTTCGTATGGACAAACATGTATTCCAAAGGTTGTGTTACACACTTGAGAGTTTAAATTTGCTACAGAATGATAGAAATGTGAGTACTCAAG